AAAAATGTTTATGCGTTTTTTTCTTAAATCTAATAAATTTTAAATTCCAGAAACTATAATTTTTAATTATAAAGGTTTTATAATTGTCTGGTTCTAGTTTCTATCCCTTTGTTGATATTTCCTATCTTCTCACTTATTGTGAGCATATTTTTCTAGACCTTACTGGTCAGAGTCATAATACAATAACAAGACTATGTGCAGTATCATATGTGCAGGAAATCCTTGAAGGAAATGTTATTTGGCACATAGCTATAGCTGCCTTAAAGTTTTTGGCTGCTAGTTCCAACACTGGAGAATTTTTGCAGTTGGAATTAGAGCAAAGTTTTGCTGGCTTTGTCTATGTCAAGTATTTATGGACTCTATTATATATGCTATAAAACAAGCTTGAACAGCCCACGGCCTGTGCACTGCATTAAGCCCAGGAGAGTTTTGAATGTACCCCAACATGCATTTGTAAACTTTCTTAAAACATTATGTGGGTGGGAATATAAATATTAGTTCAACCATTATGAAAGACAGTGTGGTGATTCCTCAAAGACTTCAACATAGAAATATCATTCAATCCCCAAATCCCATTACTGGGTATACACCCAAAAGAATATAAATTGTTCTGTTATAAAGGCAAATTTGTGTATCTATTCATCGCAGCACTATTCACAAAAAGAGACATGAAACCAACCTAAATGTCCATCAATGACAGACTGGATAAAGAAAATGTGGTACATATACACCATGGAATATTATGCAGCCATAAAAAATAACATGATTATGTCCTTTACAGGGACGTGGATGGAGCTGGAGGCATTTATCCTTAGAAAACTAATGCAGGAAACCAAATATCACATGTTCTAATTTATAAATGGGAGCTAAACGATAAGAATATATGGACACATAAATGGAGGCAACACACACTGGGGTCTATTGTAGGGAGGAGAGAGGGAGAGGAGAGAAATAACTAATAGGTATTGGAGTTAATACTTGGGTGATGAAATAATCTGCAAAACAAACCTCATGACACTTGTTTAACTGTGTAACAAAACTGCCCATATACCCTGGAACTTAAAAGTTAAAAACAACAAAAACTCCCAATGTATTATGAGGTTTTCTTTTGTAATTTTTTTTTTTTTTAGCTCATCAGCTATTGTCAATGTTAATGTATTTCATGTGTGGCCCAAGACAATTCTTCCATGTGGCCAGGGAAGCAAAACAAATGTTCACCTCTGCTATAAAATGTTAAAGTGTAAAGACTCTAATTATAGTCTCCCAATGTGTGCTGTATTTTTTGTTAGCAGAAAAATAACTTGGTTGAACTCTCACTGCATTTTCTGTCTTTTGAGTGACAGCCTGGTCTTTCTTTGGCACTTAGTTCATACTTGACACAGTTTAAGCCTACCCACAAATTTAACAGAATTTGTGTCTTTCTTTGTTTTCTCTACTTTGTGAACTGTCATCTAATTTTCTAATAGCAGTGGTTGCCTTAATCTCGGCTCTATAATTCTTCATTCCAGAATAATTTGGTGTTTTCTATCAAAATTTTAATTGTTTGTTTGATATCAAGTTTAGTTTGCCCCCTGACTAAAAGCTGTAAATTAAGAAACTAACCATATTCTTTCTCCCTTCTTCCAAGATGTAACTTCCCTCCAAAATTTGATTACTTTTGTTTACTCCCAATGCCTTCAGATCTTATTTTCTATCTTCAGAAGGTGCCTGGATCCTGTAGATAGAGGCCACACTAAATGCAGAAATATGCAGTGAGAAACAAGGCACAATAATGACTTTGACTTAAACTGAGCTGCCTACCTAAGCCCAGCCTAGATAAGGAAAACTGCATTTCAATCCGTTTATTATTTTGGGAAACTGAGTAGTGCCATAACCCTAATATCCTTTTATCAATATCATGTCCTGACATGACATGAAATAGCATTCCGAAAATAATATATCTACCTCTCCTAGGTAAAGAAATTGGCAATAAAGATTTGTCCATCAGGATCTCCTCCTCTAGCCTAGTCTGACTCCATGGAATTAATAATACTAATAAATTTATGAATATCTTGGAGGTAAAAGTTGGAAAATACAAGAAATATGTCTGCATTGTTTTATAACATATGTTTGTAGCAATCAACACAGAGACATTGAATGATAAGGAGTAGGGGATGATATGATTCACTATTGCTTCTTCACTTCCATACATATCCTGTATTTCAGTCACGATACAAATCCATGCATCTCTAAATTAATTTATTTTGGTATATTTTCATCATCATAAGGAAACTTTATAGACTCCCAGGCAGGTCAGTTCAGTTCATGTGTTAACTGAACATCTATTATATACACTGTTCTAGTTAAAACTTTTGTAGTTGTGAAGAAAACACCAGTTAAAACCTTTGTAGTTGTGGAGGAAACACACCAGTAAGAAAGCCAGATGAAAGCGATAGGATGGAGCAGTTATTCAATACATTAGGACAGGTAGACGCTTTCTTCCCATTCTCACATATGAATTAGATGTCATAGAATGGAATATTGGCACATAAGTGTTAAATTGAGGTTTAGGAAAAAATTTAGACATACAGAGAAACATTTAAAATGGGAAAGCATTATATATTGAGAAAGAGTATCTATTGATTAAGGCAGAATGCAAGCAAAAACAAATGAATAGGGATAATATATCAGAGACCCAAAGTTGCATGTGGAAGTAATTGACAGAATAATGAGAACTTTAATTTTTATATTTCATTTATCATATGTAAAATATTTTGATAAAGAAAGTTCAATCTATTAAAAAATAAATCTAAATCAAGTTTCGAAATACAATTTTCTTGACTGAATAGAATAGAATGCAATTTTATTAAACACATTTTTGGTGAAAAACATAGAATGTCATTGGATGTAAAGCTCAAAAAAAGTTGACAAAAGAATTGATTAAAATCCCTCTCAACCACAAATATTGGCACATAAAATGGTTAAGACTTATAGCAAATATTATTATTGAATGATATCTATGTAGCTAGCTGAAATAGAAGCTTTAGATACATTCAACGGTTAAGATGTAATGATTACCAAAAAAAATGAATTCAAGCATTAAAATTTTAAATAATATTGAATTGGTAGATGCAGTGTATTGTTATTGTCACTAGAGGGAAATCTGAGCAGGATCTAGGAGAAAAAGTTTATTGTTATGGCTGTAGGTTGCATAAAGGATCCTGTGGATGTAAATTTTCTTAACAGCATGCTTACTTCAGGGGAAAAATGAAGCATAGAATGTCTGGGAAAAAGCCATGTTGTCAAGCTATATTGAAATAATTGTTTCTCAGCAAGGAACAAGATCTGTCAGATGTGCATGTTTAGACTCAAGTACTCTATCACCATATGTTTCAATAAATGCATGGTATTTCATCAAACAGGAGAAAGAAAATTTACCAAATAAATGTTGTAAGGCAGACATTACATGATGAATAGTGATTTTTAAAAAAATCCCTTAAACATAAAAACAACAATAACAAAACAACTCTTGGTTGAATTTCAGCCTTTATCCCCAAAACCAGAGAAAAATGCGGTTCTCAGGTTGCCTGAAAAAGTAATCACTTTTTTCTCATGAAAATTAGTAGAAAATATATCAATGTATTGTTATGATAAACATAAACAATTCCTAAGAATGACAATTGCTCAGTTTAGCAGAAAAGAGCAGGCAGGAAAGATAGTGAAAAATTTAGTTTTTCTTCCAATTATGACATCCTCTTATCTACCCAACGCTAAATACTAGTGTAGTGATCTCATTCTGGTAAAGTATCATTGTGTAATTCCTTCTTACTATTTACATTATTTAGAAATTGTGCAGTATTTATTCTTGGTGCACTTGTCTCTTCCTTTCCTATCACAGCAAAACACCAAGGAATCTATTGATACGCTGTATATGTTAGGATAAATAAATAAGTCATCTAGCCCTGACCATAAAGATTTCATGCACTAATTGAAGAAAATGTAATTCAAAAAGAATTACAAGAATTCAGAAGTTTGTGAGATCCTTGTGAGCTCATTATCTTTGTCTCCTACTGTAGACCTCTTCTAATCTTCTTTATCTCAATAAAGTGCAACACAATTCATTCACTTATGCTATTTAGAAATCTGGAAATTACCCAAACTAGTCCTTCTCCTTCACACCACTGTACCATCTCTCACCAAGTCTAAGTGAATTCAGTCTCCCTAATACCCAAAAATCCATTTGCTTCTCATGAAGTCTGTAACACAAGTCTGGTTTAAGCCACCCTCATCTTTCACTTGGGTTAATACCATAGGCGCTTACCAGACTACTTGTCTTTACTCTTGCTGAATTATAATCTCTTCTCCTTGATGCCACAGCGATACTTTCAAATTACATATCTAACTGTGTTTCTTCCCAGTTAATAATCTTTCAAGACATTTTCTTTCTTTGAAAATTAAACCAATAATCATTCAGGGACTATAAGAAGATCCTCGGTGCTGTACATTCCTTACATCCCTAACCTCGTTTTGTATCAAGTTCATCTGTTTTCTAGTCCTGTTTATTCTAGCCTTTGGGTTTCTCATACTCAAAAATATCCCTCTTCTAATGCTTTTCTTTCCCTCTTATTTTGTTAATACTTATGCTTCATTTGTTTCTCAAATCCAAATTTATTCCACTAGAAAATTTTCTCTAATACCCTTGAAAAAGTCAAATCATTGTTTTATAGTTCTTATATGTTCTACACTTATCCTTTGTAATATTTGAAAGAGTTAACATTTTAAGATTTTATATGTATCTCATATGACTGTCACATTAAATGTTTTGCCCATTTTATCCACACACACAAAAAATACAGTTTAAAATATCGAATGCAAGTATTAGATTCAGTGGAGAAAGATAATCAAAAAGTTGAAAAGAAAATTGTATGGAGATAAAGTAATTGGCAAATATTAACAACTATGATCTAGCTTATATTGAAGTAATAATTAACTGTAAAATCTTAATAGTTAAAACCTTAATATTTTCTTCCACTCAAGTTGTATATCTATTTTTAATTGGCTGGGATTTTTTCACATTGTTTTTTCTTGGTACCCAGGCTGATGGAGCAGCAACTGTTGCAAATTCCTTGCTGTTGTGGCAAATAAAATAAGTTAATGTAGGAAGTCAAGCATTGACTTGTAATGTTTCCACTTAGTGACACACAACACTATCCTCACATTCCCTTGACCAAATGTTACTCGGTCAACAGGAAAGGGAAGAAAATTGTAAAAATGTACCAAAAAGAGCCAGTGAAATATTTTGTGATATTTTTATGGAATTATTTCTTAGAAATAAGAATAAATTGCCGATGATCCAAGATGGCCGTTTAGGAACAGCTCAGGATTACAGCTCCCAGTGAAAGCGCAGAGGGTGAGTGGACGCCGTGTTTTTATTGCCCACAGACTAGGAAATTCCCGGGCAGAGGT